CGATATCGTGGAGTAAAAAAAAAAAAAAAGAAAAAAAAAAGAAAAAAAGAAAAAAAAAGAAAACAGGATCGATTTAATTTTTGAATAATTTATAATTTTTGAATATTAATTCTATTTAGAATGATGATTTCGATTTTCGATTATTTAGTTTTGTTGACGAGAAATTCTTTGACACTCAATTTTTCTTCGAGAATTTTATTCTCATTGGCAGCAATTCTATATCCTGCTGCGGAGCCCTCTATATACGTTTAGTTTTATTAGGAATTATATATCTAAACAATATTGTATTAGTTATATATCGTAGGGAGTAGATTATACGACAAATATTTTAATTGTACATTTAAATGTGAAAAGGCAGATAAGATTGAATTGTAGGGGATGCGAAGCACGGTCTCTCGTATCATCATTTTTAATTTCAGAATAAATATTAATGCAACGAATATAGGAAAGATATTTCATACTATTTAGATCATAGAATTTAAGCTTATGACACTTTCTTAGTTCCTAAAATAATCATTTTATCTCCGAAAATTCAACGACGTAAGGATTTTTAATAGACAATTGAAATTATAGCATATATGAAACTATTAATTAAATTAACGATATCTCTGTTAACAAATAAATAACAAACATTTTATTTGTAGATTAGAAAAGTGATAGATAAATATGAATTTTTACGCACATTAGGATAATTGTTAAAAGCGCATTGTCTTTTAAAAAAGTATTTTTCACTATGAGAACGCGAGAAACAGTCGACAATTGCTTTATACGAGAGGCGCGTTTTTTCGTCGATTGCGTTTCGATTAGGATTGTATATTAGTAAATGTATATTGGTAAACCGCATAAATGAGCATAATATTTCATTAGGCATCACGTGGAAATCTTCGAGCATTTGCTGTAAAACATCCTCGAGGATTCACGAATGCAGAATGTGAATTAGAATGAAAAAGAAAAAAGCTGTACGGGTCTATTTATTACGAAACGATAAGAGAGACAAGAAAAGAAAATGGGGAAATTATTTTTTTATATAAAAATTGAAAAAAATGTTTTTACCCCGAACAGAAATTGTTTCTCTTTGATTTTCACGAAATAAATAAAAAAGATCATCTAGTCTATTCATTGGCGAACATTTTGACATTTATTTCTATTTTCTATTTTTCTGAGAGACGAAATGGAAGATTGTGGAACATTTAGGTGTCTAAATCGTATTGTAGATATTTTTAAAATTTCTTGATTTATTCCCTTTTCTTCTTTTTTTTTTTTTAATTATATATTATAAATAAACGTTTTTTTACAAAAAAATCGACGAACCCATGACCTGAATTCTCAAGTACACAAATTATCATTCACGAAATAATCTTCTCAATTCAGCTTTAAGTTGTTTCATAATTCACACATTTCGTATACATATATCGTAGAAAAATAATTTATACCGTGACTCCACGGTCTCAACTTTCACGATTAACATTCGATGACTAGAAGTGTACATGACTAGAGTGATTTCCTAAGAGACAACTCTCTATAAATCTGACTAGATCAAACATCGTTAATACAAAAACTCTAGTGAAAACTTAGAAAAAATTCTTAATTATATATTAATAGATTAATCGGAGGATAAAAATATTCCAAAAAGTTTCATTGCGATTCGAACACGACAAAAAACATGACAAGGAAAATCCTATTGGCATTCATCTTACATGCCCAGTCTCATCAACTTGGCCGTGTAATCTCTTTGTTTATTGGCCAAGTGCAGATCCAAGCTCCTTAGCATCCTGTCACGAATCTCTTGATCGCAAATTGAACTTTTCCTCAAACCGGTCCTACGATGCGCCATCCTCGGTTCGTTCCTCGAATAAGTCCCCAGACGAAAGCCTGATTGAAACGATTTCGTTGTTGCATCGCGTCGAGTTTCGCGAACTGCATTCTTCATAAACTCGATCGCAGTTCTACGGCAGGTGTCGTAACCCAACAGTTGAATTCTTTTACCGTGAATCGCGTCCAGTTGAGAATTGTTCGGCTTAATCATCTTTTCCACTATTTTTCCAACCGTGTCGGGTGTCCCCGGCAGATCCTCGAATACCTTGCGAATAACTTCCTTTGTCAGGTCTTCCTCGCTACTGGATTCACCTGGCGAGAAAGATTTCCAACAGTTAATTCTTTCCGACTCCCCTATTCGATTTATCGCGAGAAATTAGAAGCGCGAACACGAACTCGTAATTAATATTGTCGAAGTCGTTTAACTTTTCGCTTATTAGAAGCTGGATATCGAGAAGATTTCTCGAAGAAGTCGGGACAAGAGAAATATTTCAAAGTTTTCAATATTTCAAGAATCGATTAACGATCAAGGATCTTAGGGGAGATAAATTTATCGAATAAATTACTTACCGAGGTCGCTGGTACGATCTGACGTGTACGTTCCCTCTTTGATCTCTCGTTGCAATTCCAACACTCTTGCCAGCGCCAACTGCAAATACTCCCTGGCATTTGGCTCCTGTATAAACACCAAATCCGTATATACATACTGTTAAATACCTTATTTATAACACTTTCGGTTTATAACACGGAATCAATAATATTTCACTCGTAAAACTCGTGCTATTTCACATTAAATTTACCTCTACTGACTTTGCCTTCTTGCTGTCGCCGTTTCCATCCATCAAACAGGGTGCCTATTCCACACCAAAAGAATACGATCAAAACCAATCTCGAATTTTCGCGAGACTTGCGGCGAATAAAATCACTTACCGACGAGTATCTTTTCATCTTTTCCGTAATTCTAACAAAACTCGAAGGAACTTCACCATCGATCCACTAAAAGACCTTTTACAAAGCAACAGAGTAGTCAAAAATAATTCCTTCCTCTTCGCTTAAGCCTCTCAACTTCTTTCTTGCTCCTCGGATCAGAACAGTTTCCCCTCCGAATTAATGGCCCCTTTTGTCCGCCCTCGGTCTCTCCTTTTCGTCTCTCTCTCTCTTTCTCTCTCTCCTCAAAAGAACTTTCACAGAATACGGTAGTTCGGGAATCAGGAAGACCGTTGACTGGCGTCGATCGACATCGACTAACCACGTCCAAATCGCGTAGCCCTTGTTCCAAGAGAGTCTATTGCGAGGGTGACGGTTTGCCATGGCTTCACCCCCTCCAGCTCCCTGTTTCGGAACCCTTGGAAATGTGCCCCTTGCATTCGAATGGGCAAATGGGTCTCCCTTCCCTGCAGATGCGTGTACCATTGTACCGAGAACCCCTGTTTGCTCGACGCGTGCCCTGTGCCCGATAAAAACGGCTGCCACGCGCCCCTTCCTCCAAACGGAATACGTTACGGAATAGCTGGAATAGCAGCCGTGGAAACGATATCTGTTACCGGACAGATAAATCTCGCTTCGACGAGTTCCCACCACCAAATTTTCACCAAAGTATAAAGTATGAAAATATCAAATTATAGGATAGGGTGAAAGAAGGGAAGGAAGATAAAGACTTTTTCCTCGTCTCGTATCGATCGCGCCTTCGTTTCACGCTAGTACGTGCCATTAAGAGGAATTCTCGATTTGTTTTTCATTCTCAATCTTTGCAACGATGAATAATAAAACATGGCTGCGGCTCTCGGATCCGATTCGTTTATTTGCACTCCGTGCAACGACGTCCTCGCGCGAGTCGTGAGCGTTTACCTTCTCGCCTCGATGGGAATAACAAACCAAGCTCTGGTCCGATTAAATGAATTTTTATTCGAGCCACACACGCATGCACGCACGCACGCACACACGCGCAGAGAGTCGCATGGCACGGTTGGTCAGGCCCGGCCGTTTAACGTAATGCATAATTCGTGCCTTGTATCGATTCGTTTGGGAACGCTTTCGTCGATGCGTGGCCTAATTACGGTTATAATACGGGTATCGAGAAGACGTCCAGGCGTTATCTGAACGACGGGAACGTCTACCACGTCCAGGGAAACGCGGCCAATAGTTGCGCGATACTGGAAATCTCGTTAACAGGGGTGCACGTCAAACAGGAATTCCCGATTAACAGGCGAAGGGGGCAAGGTCGTCAGGCCAGAACACAATTAATGCACAGATATCCCTTCCATTCGCCACTCTAATTAAATCTCTCGCGTCGCGCATTCAATAACGCCTGGGAATCCTCTCTCTTCTCTTCTCGTATTGTTTAGT